GCAGGGAAACATGGATGAGCAGACCAAGGACTTTCTTTTAATTCCTTTTAGCCCTACTTTTATTGATTCCCCACAAACACCTCCTTCCCACTTCTTAAAAGTCTGCTACGGATTCTATTATCCAGAACCTGCTGTCCCTGGCCACTGCAGGTGTGTTGCTGCCTAATCTTCCCCCTCTCCACTGGAACCTTCCTGTCCTGCTGCTCACTCTTTCAGGGTCACATCCCTCCTGCCTTTCAAGGTGAAAACTATATTAAAGCAATAGCCAGAGGAGATCTCCAGGGTCTTCTCTCCTACCCCAGTTTACAGCATCTTAACACTGACTTCCTGAAGTCTCATTCCCTTTTTTATGAAAACTAGAAGAATGATTTTCATAAAATTAGAGGATAAACAAACAGCAACAACAAAAAGATAAAATCAGAGGATAACCCCTAAGAGACCCCGTAATACAACATGTTCATTTTCCATAGGAGAAAAACACAGTCCAAAGAGGTTAAGTGGCTTTCTTATAAAATATTACAGCAAGTTTGGAACAAAACCATAAAGCTTATGCACACGTAAAGCACTGTATTTCTTCATCTGATCAGAGAATGAGGATTTGGGAGGGGCCTTAAGAGTCCTTGTTAGGTATGAACACAGTTGCAGTCATTTCTAGTGTCAAGGGTTATCAAATACATAGTTGCAGATCTACCTTTGTTCAGTATTCCTGCTTAGAAGCACCAGCCCTGAGTTTAACAGCTTCTTTCCAGGTTAAATGACTTGCTCTTACTTGCCATCATAGGTCACGATCTGCTACTCTGTTTTTAAGCACTTCTTGAACTAATATTTATAGTAGTAGTTTGCTACTGGGGGAAATCCTATCCATTGCCAAAAGTTCTCATTAGAAATTTAGTGCTAAAAGCTGTCACAGATTATAGCAAGCTCAGCAGTATATTGACAAATAATGCTTGATAGACTACAAAGTGGAAAGCTGTATCACAAAGGGCCAGCAGATCTTTTGTTAGAGTAGGGTATCAGTGTCATCTCAGGCTTCAGATCACATTGAAATCAACAGAGTGGAAGCTGTGCCTACCCATGAATTTTGTGACATGAGCTTGCCACATGTGAAGCCTAGTGTCCTCAGTGGTTCCATCAACATTGAGTAACCTGGCATGACTGGAGTGATGACTAATAACAAACTTCCAAAGCTACATTTTCCAAAGTCTGATCCCAGGAACATTCATTCTAAAAGTTATTAATATGCATTCCTTTAAAAAATATATTATATTCCAAATAAGTTTGTGAAACATTGCATCAAATGCAGCCCACTAATATACATAATGACTCTCTAAGAAATGGCTGTAATATATTAATATGTAGTGCTTTTCAGACTTATTTAAGAATGCTTTTTTTTTTGAGACAGAATATCGCTGTGTTGCCCAGGCTAGAGTGCAGTGGCATGATCTCTGCTCACTGCAAGCTCTGCCTCCTGGGTTCACACCATTCTCCTGCCTCAGCCTCCCGCCACCACGCCCAGCTAATTTTTTTTTGTATTTTTAGTATAGACGGGGTTTCTCCGTGTTAGACAGGATGATCTCGATTTCCTGACCTCGTGATCCGCCCACCTCAGCCTCCCAAAGTGCTGGGGCTGGGATTACAGGCATGAGCCACTGCGCCCGGCCAAGAATGCCTTTTTAAGGCATTCTCCTTAACTCCTATTAACCTCTTGAGGGGTACAATCAAGAGGAGGACGCTAGAGTTCCATGGGTACACTAGAATTCTATTGTTGGGTAATATTGTTCTACCATCATTGAATTTCACGATTTCAGAAATAGAAGTAATCTTAAAGGTAATCTGTCATTTTCAGTTTCCCAAACATATGCTAGTTGGAACCTAAAATCATTGAATTGGTTATATTTGAACAATAAATTATAGCAGGATATCACACAGCAAGTTAAATGGGTAACCACTGGCTTACTTCATTATTTTTACATATACCATTAAATACCAACTGTTATACTTCTAAAAATGTTTCATTTATTTGTGGGAAAATTGTTTTGTTATACAAAGCCTAGAAAATGCAGTATAATGCTTTATAGTGGTAAGTATAAAATAAGTAGGAAGTATATCAAATTCTCCATTCCTTCATCAAATATCTGATGAGCACCTTCTGTATGTAATATATAACATGCTAGTTATATATTATATCTCAAATCCTGAGAACACCTCAAGGAAGGAGGTAGTATTCTCATTTTACAAGTGAGGAAATTGAGCTTCTGAGATATGAAGTGATTTTCCCTAGGTAATGCCTACTAAGTGGTGTAATTAGAATTTGAATGCAAGTCACCAATTCCAAAGCTATGTTCTTTCTGCTACCTATAATACAGCTTCTTCTTTATTGTGACTGAAAATTTCAATTTAAAATTAAAGTATAATCAAAGTATAATGGTAGCTGAACAGTGGGACACACTTCCATTTGGTTAAGATAATAACATTGGTGTTTGTTTAAGAGTGCTGTCAGTTGTTAGCACCAGGTGGAAAAACTCGGATTCTACATCTCTATCTCTGACTCCTCTTCTCTAGCTCTGACCCCTCTTCTAAGCTATAGTCCCTCATTTCCCCTTGGATGCCTTATTGTCACCTCAAATGTGACATGTTTAACATCAAACTAATCATTTTCCCCTCCAAATTCCACCTTCTAATTTCATTCTCTTAGTCACTTAGCTTAAAGTCTGGAGCCATCTTTGAATCTTTTGTGAAACTATTGGTTGGACTCAACGATACATAATATCCCTTCCAATTCTGAAATTCTAATGTTGTTATTCTTGTACCATGTACTTAGGCAAAATGAATTTCTTTCTCTGCTTTGAGCCTGCTAAAACTATCTTCCAGAGTTTTTTCAATATCTAATAACATATATTCTACTCATCCATCCTTATATACTTCAAAGCCCATTTTAAATGTCATCTCTTTAAACCCTTCATGAGCCTCCCAACTGCACTTCACAGTAATTGCTCTCTCCTTCAGGATCCTATAATAGTTTTGTTCCTTTTTTAGGGTACTTTACAATACCCTGTATACATGACACAATATATATCTTGCATATTATTCTTTACATATACATATACACACTGTATATATACACATTATATATATACGTGATATACACACACACTATGATACATGTTTTAGTACTGTAAGTAATATATACAACAAATATATATGATATATAACATATATAGTGTGTGTATATAGGGTTTTATAAAAATTATAATGAATACATGAGATATGTAACTAATCTATATATTGTATGTATGTATAAGAATATGTAACTAATATATATGATTATATATAGTGTGTGTCTCTCTGTCTAATCTATATAAAGTGAGGTAAGGGGGATGCTTGGCAAGGGATGTTTGGGTGTGAGCAGGGTGGGCAGGGTTTATGGGCTAGGCATGATCACAGGGTGTGGGAGTGATGGTAAGGAAAGAAAGATGAGAGAGGGGCTTGAGATGGCTAATTTGGGGCTTTCAGAACCTTAGTGGGGTAAGGGCAGTATCCTCCAAAGGAATAGATGGCAGTTATGGATGATTGCTCACACATAGCAGGGTTGTTCAAATAAGTAAATATCTCAAGGATAATGGGAGCCAGGCTTCTCTCTGTAGGAGAAAGTAGTTATAAATGTAGAAGGGCAGAAACTAGAATGAACTGTATGATGCTGGATTGGAGGTTTTACTGTAAACACATGATTTTTCAATATATATTGTTAAAGAAATATAGCTGTAAACATGTGTGTAAGGATACAAATAAAGATGTGCTGTGTGTGTGTATGAATGTATAAATATTCCCTACTGCATCCACTGAGACAGTCTGGTCTATGGACACTCAATAGCAGTGAGCATACCTAGTGCTAAATACCATTCGCCACTATAAGGAATCAGGACTCCTGAATAAATAATTACATCCAAGGCTGGAGCTGGATGAGTCTGAAACATCTAATTGCCCTAGTGACTAGGGGAGTGCCGAAAGAATGACGGGGATGTGTCAAAAGGGCACAGAATGGTAGCCTGTTAATTTTGAATCTGGATTGTGTGTATATGGTATTTAAAGCTCTTTTAATTATTCTGCATTTTAAAAATATTTTACAACAAAATGTTTATAGAATCTAAGGCTGGGGCCGGGCGCAGTAGTTCATGCCTGTAATCTCAGCATTTTGGGTGGCCGAGGTGGGCAGATCATGAGATCAGGAGTTTGAGACCAGCCTGACGAACATGGTGAAACCCCATCTCTACTAAAAATACAAAAATTAGCTAGGCATGGTGGCACACACCTGTTATCCCAGCTACTCAGGAGCTGAGGCCAAGAGAATTGCTTGAACCCGGGAGGCGGAGGTTGCAGTGAGCTGAGATCACGCCATTGCACTCCAGCCTGGGTGAGAGAGCAAGACTCCGTCTCAAAAAAAAAAAAAAAATTTAAGTCCAGGTACAGTGGGTCACACCTGCAATCCCAGCACTTTGGGAGGCCACGGTGGGTGGATCACTTGGGCCCAGGAGTTCAAGACCAGCCTGGGCAAAATGGTGAAACTCTCTCTCTACAAAAACAAACAAAATTAGCCAGGAACAGTGGCACGTCCATTGTCCCTGCTACTTGAGTGGCTGAGGTGGGAGAATCACCTGGGAGCCTAGGAGGTTGAGCCTGCAGTGAGCCATGATCAGACTACTGCACTCCAGCCTGGGTGACAGAGTGAGACCTTGTCTTCTTGTCTCAAAATAAATAAATAAATAAATAAATAATCACATAAACACACACACACAACACAGAAGCTAGAATGAATGTGAGACCTTGTCTTCTTGTCTTAAAAAAAAAAAATTGAACACACACACACACACATCACAGAAGCTAGAATGAATGGGGCCCCTACCCACCAAACTTGGGATAATTGAGCATCAAAATAAATAATGATAGAGACAGAATATTGGCTGGGTGTGGTGGTGTGCATGCCTGTAGTCCTAGCTACTTACTTGGGAGGCTGAGGCAGAAGGATCACATGAGCCCAGAAGTTCAAGACTGTAGTGTGCACCATTATTGCATTATCGACCTATGAATAGCCACTGCACTCCAGCCTGGGCAACAAAGGAGGCCCTGTCTCAAGAAAAAAAAAAGAGAGAAAAGAGAGAAAGAAACAGATTATAAGTCATTTAACAAAATAGAAACCTCTGGATCCATACTAATTAATATAAATACATTAATTGAAGATAAGAAACAAGATATTTACAAATATCTTGAAAGAGTTTCAGAGTCTCCCTCACAAAATACTTATTAATTTACAAAGGGGGGGAAAAAGTAACCACACTGGAGAAGCCTAACAGACATCACCTTATTAAAGTAAACATCTGTAATGAGAGAAGTTAAATCGTGCCACCTGATAGGATGCCATGAGAAGAAAGCAGCAAGACTTCTGAAGTCCTGTCATACCTAGCTGAATGTAATCACGAGTAAATATCAGACAGACCCAAAGTGAAGGCCATTCTACAAAAATAACTGGCCAGGAATCTTTAAAAGTGTCAAGAATATGAAAGGCAAAACAAGACTGAGAGTTCCAGTTTGAAGAGTAGGAGATACATAAGTAAATACTATGCTTGATTCCGAACGGAATCTTTTACCATAAACAACATTATTGGGACAAAATTGGTAAAACGCTGAGTTACGTAAATGTTTTGATTTTGATGGTTATATTGTGATTATGTAGAAGGTGCTTAGGGACAATGTGGTATGGTGTCAGCAATTTAATCTCAATTCAAGAAAAAAAAAGTTCTTTGTACTATACTTGCAACCTTTTTGTAAGCTGGAGATTGATTCAAAATGAAACTTGAAAAATGACATTTAAAACGCTGGGTGTAGTGGGAAAACGCACATGACTCGAGGTAAGAGGTTGTTAGTCTCAGTTCTGCCACTGACTTAGTATGTGACCTTGAGCAAGTCACTTTACCTCAGTCCTCAGAGTCAAGGCTCTCTAGGATCTCTTCCACGCCTAACATCTACACCCACGGCACTGGCCCCGCCTGAATTTCTCCAGGCCCTTTAGATGTCCCAGAGCTGCACCCGAAGACTCTGGCTTGCTATAAAAACAGACAAAAATAGTTGTGGCCGGATCTCCGGACTGAAAAACCGCTGTCCTAATCCTAACTTGGGCCGCAGTCTCCATCGCTTTTTCGACGGTGAAGCAGTCACGCCTGCCAGAGTGGGCGCTCGATGGCTCGGCGGCCAGCTGGTGGGGCCTTGGACCAGCGGCGCGGCGCAGGGCGCGCTCCCAATCGCTAGCTCCCGCCGTACTCGCGGCTGCGAGCTTTCCGGGCACGCCCCGCGCGCGCCCCGCCCACTTCACTGCCTCGCTGTCGCCGCCGCCGGCAATTCCAGATTCTGCTAGAGTTAGCAGAGCAGGCGGTAGCGTTGCGGGACCGGGACGGGCGCTGAGCTCAGGAGGACCCCCCAAAGGCAGGCAGTCGGGAATCCGGAGAGCGTTGACACCTCCGGGCGCGAGGGAGCTGTCTGGGCTGCCTGTTGGCTGGGAGGGAGGACGGACCGGGGCCGCAATGTGAGTTGAGCTCTCGGGGATCCCGAGGGTGGTCGCGGCAGCGATGTGATCGCGAAAGAAGCCGGTGGGAGAACCGGTCGAGGGGCCAGGTGTCTTGACCCTAAGGGCTGGAGTCCGCCAAGGAGGGGCTGATTGGGGCACGGGGTCGGCTGATGAACGGCGCCGTCCGTCCTTCCTCCTGGGCTACGGGAAAGTCTGGCTTCACCTGTGCACAACAGGTAGGCATGGACTCTGCCCGCCAGCGGGAGACGGGGTCGCCGGGCGTGTGGGGAAGGTCAGGAGGTCGGAGCCCGCCCCGCCAGCTCGCCGCTCCCGGGACCCCGCCCTGCGGTGTCCGCTGCGCCAGTGGTCAGCCTGGAGCTGGAGCCCCGGCCCGGCCTTCAGGCGAGCTTCCTTAGAAGCCCGTTCGTTTTCTGCAGGAACCTTCAAGGAGAGTTCCCAGAAGGGAGCAGTGGAGAGTGTATATTTGCCTTCTGTTTCAATTCTCTTCAGGAAAGAAAGCTTTTCCTGGGGTAGCATTTGCTTAGTGTGAGGAAACATTTTCTTTCACCCTACTCTCGGCCAACGCGGCGTTATTTCAAGTGATTATAAAGTCTTTAGAAACTTTATAAAGCGTTTTATAGTGCCTGTTTATCACAGTAATGGATACCTCTGGCAAGTTGGGATAATTTTCTTGACTGTCAACTCAGATAATAGTAAAATAGCTTGAGCTCCTACATTAAAGGTCATAGTTACCCATTGTTTTTATGTGCATTCATTTATTGAACAAATATGCAGCACTTTTTTTGGGGCTAGGCGCCCTTAAGGAATTTACAGCCTGAAAGACGTTAAAAGTTTAAGGAAGAATAAAAGGGGCCCACAAGTACAGTTAAGAACTTCCAGAGAAAATACTCTCAGTGAAATTAGTTAAGCTCTAGGGAAAGCAGAAGTGTGGTTAGAATTGAGCATTAGTTGGATGAGGAGAGGAGAATTTTGTTTCATTTTCCAAACATTTTAGAAAGTATGTCTTTGAGAAAGTGATCTTAGATAAAGTATCGAAGCCGAGATTTGTGTTACATTTTAATACCATTGGCTTTTTTTTTTTTTAAACTGGTAAGCAGGCAGGATTTATGATTTAAGAATAGTGACAGTTGGAGAATACCGTAGTATGGATTTGTTGTGCCTTGGAATGCAGTTGTTTTACCTAGATAACTAGAAAATAGGAGAGTAAGACTCCTCACCTGAAAGTCAGGAGACCTGAATTCTAGCTTAAGTTCCCTCCACTATTTAAGGATGTTAGATTAGGTCACTTTTTTATTATTATTCATTATTGTATCTGACTTTAGTCACAGAAAATACATGACTCCAAAGTACCTTTTTAATTCTTAAATTATTAATTAAAATTAACTACATTAAACTAATGAATATATTATCTACAGAAAAAAATTACTTTTTTACTTGTCTTTAACCAATGCACTTACCTTTCTTCCTGCTTTATTTCAAAAAGGTTGAGGCAGTTTATAATAATCTTTCTTAACTATGAATAACATAAGGGTTAAATTCTGGATTTTTTAAATTCTAAAATAATTTTATTCTGAATTAAGCAGTTTAATGACATCTGCATTTTTTTAAAAAGCTCCATTGAGTCTTGTGTGGTTCATTAATTATCCCATAGTATAATTGAAGAGTTTGAACAATCCTTTAATGAGACCACTGTCCTCATATAAATAATACTTCTGCTTTTTCAGGAGACATTGAGAAACTATTATTAAATCTCATTTGAGAAATCAATTAACTGGGGCCAAAAAAATTAGTAAAGACTTGCCTGTGTTACTTAATTAGATCCCTTGTCTAGTTCTAGTGTTAAATTTTTGAATTAAAATAGTGCTCAGCAATCTAGAGCCTGTGGTTCAAATCTACTGTGCTGGCAGTTTTATAAAAGTTTTATTGAACACAACAATGCTCCTTCGTTATGGCTGTTTATGTGTTGTTTCTGGGTAGTTGTGATAGAGACCGTATGGCTCCCAAAGCCTAAAGTATTGTCTGGTCCTTTACAGAAAAAAATTAGTGGACCCCTGAACTAGAACTCTTAAGTGCTTGATCACTAAATCTTTTGTAGGAAGAAATAGATTAAATTCAGTTTTAATTCTTTTGTTCGTTTGTTTGTTTGTTTGTTTGTTTTTATTGAGACAGGGTCTGGCTCCCTAGCCCAGGCTGGAGTGCAGTAGCAAGATCTCAGCTCACTTGCAAGCTCTGGCTCTTGGGTGCAAGTGATTCTCCCGCCTTAGCCTCTGGAGTAGCTGGGGTTACAGGCATGCGCCACCACGCCCGGCTAATTTTTGTGTTTTTAGAAGAGACGGGGTTTCACCATGTTGGCCAGGCTGGTCTCGAACTCCTGACCTCGGGTGATCCGCCCGCCTCGGCCTCCCAAAGTGCTGGGATTACAATCGTGAGCCACTGCGCCCAGCCTCACTTTTACTTACTAATCTTCGTTTTTCATTATAATGTCAGGTAATTGTAGGATTCGTAAATGCTTCTGGATCTGCAGTGTGTAATGATAGAGGAGGGGCATGGTTTTTCTGCCACATTTACCTAGTATAAAGTTTTATAATTTAAGCAACTGTAGCCTTTTTTTTTTTAATTTTTTTAATTTTTATTTTATTTTATTTTTTTAGACGGAGTCTCGCTGCGTCCCCCAGGCTGGAGTGTCGTGGCGCCATCTCGGCCCACTGCAACCTCCGCCTCCGGGGTTCAAGCGATTCTCCTGCCTCAGCCTCCCAAGTAACTGGGATTACAGGCACGTGCCATCAAGCCCAGCTAATTTTTTTTTTTTTTTTTTTTTTTTTTGAGACGGATTCTCACTCTGTCGCCCAGGCTGGAGTGCAGTGGCACGAACTCGGCTCACTACAACCTCCGCCTCCAGGGTTCACACCATTCTCCTGCCTCAGCCTCCCGAGTAGCTGGGACTACAGGTGCCCGCCACCACAACCGGCGAATTATTATTTTTTTTTCTCAGTAGAGATGGGGTTTCACCGTGTTAGCCTGGATGGCCTCCGTCTTCTGACCTCGTGATTCGCTCACCTCAGCCTCCCAAAGTGCTGAGATTACAGGCGTGAGCCACCGCGCCCGGCCAGCTCTAGCCTTTTGTAAGCCTAGGGAAGAGGAAGAGTTTTTATATATTTCTCTAGCAACTTTGTTATTTTAAGTTTTAATTTAGATCTAGTATGGGAAATGTTTTTCGTTTAGTGAACTTCTCTCTTTTTACTGTGTCATTCATAGGGTTTATCATAAGCAGCAGTAAGGTACCTTTACTCAAAACAGTTTTTTTTTTTTGTTTGATTGATTGATTTTGAGACAGAGTCGCTGGAGTGGACTCAAGAGATCCTTCTACCTCAGCCTCTTGAGTAGCTGGGACAACAGGCACATGCCACCATACCCAGCTAATATTTTGTATTTTTTTGTAGAGATGCGGTTTTGCTATGTTGCCCAGGCTGGTCTCAAACTCCTGGGCTCAAGGAATCCCCTCATCTCGGCCTCCCAAAGTGCTGGAATTACAGGTGTGAGCCACCACATCTCGCCTCAAAAGAGTTTTTTAAACAGGAATCTAGTGATTAAAATCTAGTGATTCCTAGTTGGTCATAAAGTCAGACAGAATATTATAGGAAGTGTAACTGAACAAGAAATCAAACATATTTACAGTGAGAACCAAATGGAAAGTTAGAACTCTTTAAGCAGATACCTAACAGATTGAAACAGGAGTATATATCCTGAATCATGCTTGGCCTTTTTTTTTTTTTTTTAATAGTAACAACACAAAAGGTTTATTTCTAGAAAAGAAGCATAATAGCCATATTAAAGCACTATATTATTTGCCTAAAAGATTAGAGCTGGTTATGTGACAAAAATGAAGGAAAACTTGGAGAAGGTGATAATTTTAAATATTTAAAGCTGTACATGTACTTTTACTAATCTTAAAACCATCGACCAGGTGTGGTGGCTCATGCCTGTAATCCTGGCACTTTGGGAGGCCAAGGGGGGCATATCACTTGAGGTCAGGGGTTTGAGATCAGCCTGGCCAACAGGGTGAAACCCCATCTCTACTAAAAATACAAAAAAATTAGCCAGGTGTGGTGGCGGGTGCCTGTAATCCCAGCTACTCGGGAGGCTGAGGCAGATAATTGCTTAAACTAGGAAGGTGGAGGTTGCAGTGAGCCAAGATCGCACCACTGCACTCCAGCCTGGGCGACAGAACGAGACTCCATCTCAAAAAACAAAAGCAAAAATTAGCCAGGCATGGTGGTGCACACCTGGAGTCCCAGCTATTCAGGAGGCTGAGGTGGGAGAATCACATGAACCCATGAGGTGGAGGTTGCAGTGAGCTGAGATCCTGCCACTGCACTCCAGCCTGGGTAACAGAGTGAGATCCTGTCTCAGAAAAAAGAAAAGGAAAAAAAAAAAACAAAAAACCACACCATAGTATGGTGCTAATTTTACTAAATTGTTGTTTTATGTATGTATTTTTTCAGTAACTTAGTTGTCCTTTATTGCCCAAGTAATGCTTCTCAATGGGCAAATATACAATAGCATTTATATACTTTTCTGTTGCATTT